TTCTGACACTGTTAACCTGCTGAGGTAATACAAAAGTGAAAATAAGAGCTACTGGTGTGGATCCTGGTTTTCCCAATGTGAAGATCCAGGGACTCTGATTGACATACAAATGCTCAAACTGCTACACTCAGTAATGAACCCAAAGTTTATAGAAAGTTGGAGATGTCCACAGATCTAATTAAACACCATCCAGATATTTCAAATAAATATCTTTAATATCCCAAATTTTACACCAGACTGCTTTCTTCCTCAGCACAGTAGAACAGACACAACAAATGGGCTAAGCTACTTTTTTATTATTATGATGATGATTTACAATTATTTTGGACAAATTATTTAACCAGAACTATTAAGAAGATGGGACAAGAAATACAGTAACTTTTCTGTCAAGAGCTACTATCAGTTCCAAATCATGGAAAAGAATTTTTTTCCACAAATCATATACAAAATCACAATGTGAAACACTCAAATGCACTTCTGATCTTCACTGAAATGTTAAGCTTCTAAGGGGAAAATGGAAACTGATTTTTTTGTTTAAAAATATGCTTTTAAAAATCAGTTACTGATTAAAAAGGTTTTTTATTCTTTGAAATCTGAATACATTTGGGATTTGATATTTACATGTTTCCCCAGAATCATTACAAATGCTTTTTGCAAAGTCAAAGCCTCTCCCTGAAATAGATTGGGAAAAAAAATTACATTTATTCTGTAAAATTCCTTGAAAAATAACTGACATTTTCATACTAGCTTCAGAAAGAAGCTAACTTCTAGTAAGGCCCTACATTGAACTGAGAAATCCTGGATTTGGATTTATAAGCTACATGTATAAAAACCAAAGAGAAACAAGAACATCATACCTACCCTTACCTCTATATATATATATATCTTCAAAATAAATCCTTTGATCTCCAGCCCTACAAAACTTCAATTAACTATTTGATTTCACTAGGCTGTTGTTTGGCCCCTGGGATCACATAATGTCAGCCCAGGAGACACTTTTATTCAGCAAGCAGATGTCATGATGAATAATACTTCTTCAGCCAACTACAGCTTTTAATTAGGTTTTTTTTAGGGTCTGGTTCAGTAGCCCTTACTCATATTGGGTAACATTCACTGCACAAATATTCCTGCTGTTCATTAATCATTGAAAGCACTGGTGAACTAAGCCCTGGGTATGTAACAACTCTTACATTTAACCTAGAATGGCAATTTTGCCCCAAATATTCAAATGCCTCCTGACATACAGAAATGCTTGATCACTGACAACCTATTGAGCAACAGTGTGCTTACATAATCTATAGCTATTATTACGCTGTACTACATTTTTTGTATTTTTATTGTTGGACTCAACGTGGCACTAAGTAACAGCAAAACTGTGTCCATGCTAAAACTACATATTCCTCTGCATACTTCCACTTCTAACACATCTGTGAAACACAACTAAGAAAGCAGTGAGAGATTAAATTCTGAGGTCTGAATATACAGAAAAAAATTGTACCAGTCTCACACAAGCACACAAGTCTAGTACCTTCTAATGCTGAATGTCAAGATTGTTCCTGGTTTCTGGCATGAATAAAAATCTGTAATAGAGTTGAACTGAATTTTTAAAAGTAAATCAAGAAACTCCCTCTGTTCCTAGATATCCCTTGCTTTCCAACAAACACTCATCTATAAATAAAGTCAGGATAACTTACCAGGAAACATGATCCAACAAATAGTGAAGGAAAACCAGTACTACTTGTTTCTCATCATTCCTTTTCTCACTTCTCCTTTAACTTTCTATTCTACAGAGTTAGTCGTCCTATGTAGATACATGTATACAAATATATGCCCTCCCTGAGCACATAAAGGATTATACATGGTGACTAATCTGCTCTCCTGCTGACCCTGCTACCTGCTGGTCTTAAAAATAAATCCAAATGAATAAAAATGGCTTAGAGTCAACTCCCGTTTAGAGACAATAAAGCTCCACTCCCAGTGCAGAAGAAGAGAAATAGACATTTCAGTGTCTAAACTCGTAATCTTAAACTAGCGGGCGTGCAGATTTATCATTCAACAGTGCCCTGAGCTTGCCTCTTCTAGGTTGCATTCATGTGAAATTTCCATGGATGAAGGCAAAAATTACTCAAAATTATAGTTTACTTAGACTCATAGTAGCAGCCACAGCTCCAGGAGCAGAGATGTTAGGTGTAACAGTGACTGAAGAAAGCTCACAGTTTGCACGTGCATTTCCACTGTCTGTTCCCTATAGGAGAAGCCCTGCTGCCACCCCAGTGAAACCTGGGGGTTCAGGGAGTTAGATTCAGCCTAAAGCCCGTACAGCAGGTAATCCCTGTGCCCCCTGCTGTGCCTTTAACTCCTCTTTAAGGGACAGAAACACGGACTGGTCTCTCTCTGCAAAGGGAATTCATGTGCATGGTCACTGTGATCTAAGGAAACACCTTCAATAACACATAAAGGCTCTTTGCACATTGTGTCTGAGATCAGCACTCCCTGAAAACATTGCAATTTTTTTGTATTCTGGACAAGATTTGCCTTTGGAGTTTGTTCGATGCCATCCCTGTGTTCTAATCATTTGGGTCTTAGCAGATTTTTAATAATAGCTCCAGTTAAAAGTGTATTTATAGAATAATTATACAAAAATCCCTCTCTTGTATCATGTTTTTTAAGTGAAGCAGCAAAATATTCTGAGTGTGGCACTGTCTATTCATGAAGTTTGTATTCAAGCTGATATTGATGGAAGTTAGAAAAACAAACCATTTTATACCAGTTTGGGTGTTCCACCTGCTAGGTCTGCAAGAAGTTGCCTGTTTCAGACAGTAACACCATTCCCTTGTTTACGCTGATGCAATTCAGAAAAAACCCAGTATCACATCACTAGTGAAACAAGGATAAGAAAAAAGAGATTCCACCCTTGAGCTTAAGCACAAGCTGCCTGCACCACAGTGAGGACTATACATCATGAATTATTAAAGCCAGTAAAATTTCCAGTAAAAATTGTTAACTCTCTGCCTAAATGCATCTCATTCAAAAGATGAAATTATTCCCTAGCATAGCAACTTTTCGGAAGTGGTCTATTCCATATGTAGAACATTTCTCTTTTAAGAGGGTGTTAGCAGTATCTTCATGTTTTCCTGCTAGCCCTGCCTTTCAGTATGAAGAGGTGTCTCTGTCACAGAGGAGATAATGGGCAAAGAATTGCTCTCTAGCACGTCAAATGTCTGACAAGAGTTTGCACGAGGTGGAAATGACACTGTTTACACATCAAGCTAAAAAAAATAGGGGCTCTCTAAACTCGGTGTACAGGGGCAGGTGCCCTTTGGATCAACAGGTCAAGAGAGCACTTCCCACGGTGGCCAGAAACTCTGCTTTCTGAAAACAATGCCACTGCAATGCTTACTCAAGTGACAACCCCAACAAGAGGATTAGCAGGAGGAACAGGGAGTGTAGAGGCAGCCTACTAACATGGAGCATTTTTAAATCTTGATTTATTTCTGCTGTTTGTCAATGTTTTTCTCTCTTTTTTTTTTTTTTGTCCAGACAGCATACACATAGAGCATGCATTTATTTTATTTTGTTGTCAGTTAAAAAATATGGGAATCCTAAGAATTTAATCCCTCCAGCCTTTCTATCCAGTCATTTCCACCATACATAACGAACACACCAAATTAGCCCCAAGCAAATTCATGCCTTCCTAGCAAATTAAATACATCGGTGTTGACAAAAAAATGAGCATTCCTATTGCGAATATTTGTCACTTAGCTCTTATTTTGGTTTTAGAAACTTCAGCTGGACTAATCATGTCTAAGGCAAATGAAACAACTTTTTATAAGGCTAAACAGCTGGAAGTATACAACAAATGATATTTCAGGCTACACAACTGTCTGCTCAAACAAGAGAGAAGAAATCTTTCTTCTTTGCACCCTTGCACAGCAGCAGCTGGAATCTAGTTCTGGACTGGCAGCTCCTGCCTTCTCACCCCACAGACTTGCTGTGAGCAACCCTGCAGACTGGTAGATGAAAAAGAGGTACAGTATTACTGTGTCTCCAACAAATACACTGCATCCAAGCTGGTTTTGAGGAATGAACATTAAACAAGCCAAGAGACTTGCCCCACACTGTTTAGCACAACTCAGAGTGGGCCTCACCTTTCCAGGACCGAAGCCACCCAACCTCAAACCGAGGAGAAAGCCGTAATCTGTGGAGATGTGCAGATGAAATTGCTTTGGAGGATCTCTGGCACAGCTGTGCTCCCCACCCCTCTCCACCCAACCCTGGTGTGGGCATTCAGACCCACATCTGCTGCACAGATAGGGCAAACCCCAGTCAGAAATCCCAGCTCTGGGATTCTCCTTTTGCCACCAGCAGCCCTGGCAACACCATTTCACGGGGAAAGGAGCTTCGTGGCAGGTTTGCAGACAGGAAGGCCAGCCAAACCCTCTGTTCCACCCTGGAGGAAACAGACCAACAAAAGGCTACAGTGGCTCCAGAAAGAAAACCTCTGTATTAAAAGCCAAATAACGCGGAGCTACAATAATAAATACACACTATCTCAACCAGGAAATTAAGTGTGAAAGGTTCATTAAAGTTCAGCTTCAGCAGTAACAATATATATACCACATCGCTTCTCCATTCTGTCAAAGAGAGAGATATCCCTTTCTGTCCATAAAGGAAAAACCCGTTCAAACCATACCCTATACAAAAACGCTACTCTGACAACAAATGCAGCCGAATAGGAGGGTCTTTGATTTCCTCCACAGAATTTTTAGGGGGGTTTTTTCTTGCCTTTTTTTTTTTTTTTTTCCCTAGGGGAGAGGGGTTGTTTGGTGGGTTGCCTTTTTTTTTCTTTTTTTTTTTTTTTTTGTTTTTTTTTTACTAAAAGGCTCGTTTAAAACGGGTATTAAAGATATAAAACGCGCACATATGATTGGGTCCCCTCGGGGCCGCTGCCCTCGGGGCCGGGCCGGGCGCGGAGGCGGCCCCACGTCCCGCCGCGCACCTGTGGCACGCTGCAAACAAGAAAAACACGACAGAGTCCGTCCCGCGTCCCTCCACGGCACAGGACGAAGAGCAGGGGGTCACCGGCAGAGGCTACTTGGCGGTGGCGGCGGTGCTGGCGGCGGTGCCGCGGCGCTGCTCCATGCCGTTGGGCAGGAACCCCGCGATGATGGGCACGGGCCAGATGAGGGCGGCCACGCTCCACACGATGATGACCAGAGTCATGAAACACGCCACCAAGGTGGACTCGATGGGCTTGCGGTTCATCCGCCAGCCCGGCTCGCCCTTCAGCTCCTCCAGGCTGAAATCCAGGCAGCAGAAATTCAGCGGCTCCCCTTGCAGCCAGTACTGGCCGGGCTCGGCCGCCGGCGGGTAGGAAAGCGAGGAGGAGGAGGAGGAGGCGGCGGCGGCAGCGGGGGGCTGTGGCTGTGGTTGGGGCTGTGGTTGGGGCTGGGGCGCGGTGCCCCGCAGCCGCCCGACCCGCCTGCTCCGCACCCAGCTGCAGCCCACGCAGAGGCGCAAGTCCTGCTGGGCGCCGCCGGCCGCCAGCCCCAGGTGCTCGATGAGCAGCGGCGGCCCCACGCGGTGGAAGGCGGCGGAGAAGAAGGCTCGCCCGTGGCTGTTGGTGGAGAAGAGCAGGAGGTCGCACTGGATGCCCAGCGGGCGGCTCCAGCGCACCAGCAGCGAGCTCAGCATCTGCCGCTGCACGCTGATGTTGCAGTGCGGGTCTTCGGCGGGCTGCGGCTGCCCCTGCGGCTGGGGACGCTGCTGATGCTCCTGCTCCGGCTGCTCCTGCCCCGGCTGCTCCTGCTCCTGCCCGGACGTGGTGGGAGCGGAAGGGAAAGGCTCTTGGCTAGGGGCAGCCGGCGTGCCCGGGCTGTCGGTGCTGCCTTCCTCCTTGCTCGCTGCCCCGTCGAGGTCCATCTCGAGGCTGGCCAAGGAGCGGGAGGAGGAGTTGGCAGGGGGCAAGAAGAGCTCCTGCTCCTGCTCCTCCTGCCCGCTGGCAGCCGGCGAGGGGCTCCAGCCCTGGCAGGGCGGCAGGCAGGCGGCCAGCAGTGCCGGGAAGAGCAGCGGCAGCATGGCATTAACTTACAGCCGGAGAGGAGGCAGAGGAGGAGGAGGAACGGGAGGCTGCATGGCGCTGCCGGCTGCCATCCGGGAAAGGAGGCACAGCGCTCCCGCCGAGCGAGCGAGAGAAAGGGAAGGAGGGTGGAGGCAGGCGAGGGGGTGGGAGCGGGGCTGGGGCTGCCGCGGCGACGAGCCGAGCGAGCCGGGAGCCTCGGTGACGGCAGCGGCTCCCCCCTTCCCCGCCTCCCCCGCCCCCGGCCCGGCCCGGCAGCGCCCCGGCGGGAGGAGCCGAGCGGAGCCCGGCGGGGCTGGCCCGGGGCACCGCGCTCCCTGCCCCGGGGCGCGGGCCTGGGCGGCCACCGCTCTCCCCTCAGCCGGGACCGTCCCCTCACAGCGTCCTCTTCAACCGCGCCGGGCCCCCCGCGGCCATGTCCATGGGGAGAGCCGGAGCCTCAGCTCTAGCGCCCCGTCTGACCCGCGGGGGCCGCCGTGGGACCGGCGCTCCCCCTCCTCGGTGGCTTTTCCTGGGGGGGAAAGCGGCTGGCAGCGGGCAGCGCCCTCCCGCCGCCGCCTCGGGCCGGGGCGCGGGTCCGGGAACAGCATCCACGAACTGGCTGCACACGCTTTCACTGTGATTTTCTGGGAAGGGAACGGGACGGGACAGGACTGGGGAGACGCGGAGAAAGGGATTTTAAACTCGGTGCCTGCGTCCTCCACAGCGGTGCCCTCCAGCCTCGGCCCCAGGATGTGCCTGGCCTTGGACCGCAGGCATCGCACCCATCCGACGGGCGCTGTCGGTCCTTGAAGCAAAGATTTAAGCGAGGAATCTGCTTACCAGCAGCACAAAGCTCCCAAGCGCGGTAGCCGTGAGGTCTGGCTGCGTTTTTGAATCGCTGCTTTACAGGCATGGTATTTATAAACAGACCAGATAGTCAGGCTTGTTTCGTGACCCTGTGCTAGTTACAGTACTACTCTTGACAGGGTTTGAGGCTTGCTGTGTTTGACACTCGGAGCCTCGGGGAGGGCCAGAGCTAATGACACAAATGCTGAGCGTTTCTTAGTCTTTACTTGGAGCAGAGGATGGGATAGAATTACATTATGCAGGCAGGCATCCAGAACTGAGACTGTTTTCTTTGTGTTTGCAGCCCTTTTTTGACAAATAGAGATGCAAAAGGAGTACACTAGTCTTTCCCAAAGGATAGAATCAAAGTCCGTAAGGCTCTTCTTTGAGATTGGCATCGGTCCCATGTCAGACGTGTTCCCACATCCAAGTAACACGTGGACCCATTCTCACTTGGAAAATGAGTTCCTGTAATATCAGCCTCAAGTCCTTCAGGTGAATGAGGGTAGAGAGTGAATTTTAAATTTTATATTATTCAACATGAATGAAGGTAGTGAGTCAGTTTTCTTTTAAAACCTGTGCCTAAATATATCATGACAAAATCCATAATTGTTTGCCTCATATTCAAAAGATATCTGAGCAGCAAAATGTGTTTGTGTTTAGTCCCAAATTTGTCTAAAGAGTACTGGCTACCTATAGTTTGGCTTACTACAGAGAAAGATGCCTGATGAAACGTTTAAAGCAAGGTGTCTGCTTCCAGTTCTGGGCTTATGCTCGAATGTTGCAGTACAGTTAATACCTTTCTCAGGGTCTCCCATTTTAGAGTTCTCTGATATTTTTTATTGCCTGTTGAATGCGTCTCTACATGCTTTTCTTGATGTTGTTTTTCATGTCCACACTCCCACACATTTGTGGGGCTATAGTAGTAGTATTTGTGGGACTATGGTGGGGCCAGACCAGATTAAGAGAGGGCCAGTGTAATCCTAAAACTGTGTGGCCACTGTGTGCACAAATTACATTGCATTGGGATTTTTGGCACAAAGGACTGGAAATGAAACTAAGCCTCATAAATAAGATTTAGCTCCTGAACACTGTTGCAGTATGTGGGTGGCAAATGTTCTCAGGCAGAGCTTCAGTTCTTTTGGTTTCCACTCCCAGCATCCAATTGAATGCAGTCAGGGGTATTTGTGAAGAAATTCGAGGGGGGAAGACTTGAGCTAAGTTTCTTTTTCTGCAAGGAAGGATAACCTGTCACAGGAAATTTAAATGCATTCAGCATCATTTAGACCTCCATAGCAAAGAGCTAAAAGACAGCAGTATATTTCAGGCTGGAGATGCATGGGTACCTCACACCTATTCCTGTTCATCAAGGAATAATTGACCAAGTGGGTGGAAGAAGCAGAAAGTGTGTTAGATCATTGATTGAAAGGCACTGTCCAGCAGGGCCCTTTACAGATACTTTATTTCTAGGTCTACCATGTATAATTAATCTCTGCATGGATCCAGTCATTCAAAGAGATAACAGCACACTTGAAAACTTTGTATGCAGAATCATTATATAGCTCCATTCTGTTGTTTTCAGCCATAAATCTCAAAGAACAAAGTAGTTTTACGGCTAGGGAGGCTGAAGCATAAAGATATTGGGGCCTGACAAAGGTGACCTAGATGTCACAGGCAGATCAGAGTGTAGGTTTTGCAGGTTTGATTCTATAGATATAACTAGGACTATAATGTGTACCATAGGTCACAGTAGCATTTGACAGTACGGTAGAGGAGGTGTGAAGTGGGTTATAATGATAAAATTTTAGAAGAGAATAATGAGGCAACAAGACAGTAGGAGTTTCATGAGACAGACTGCAGAGCTGTTGGCAGGGTGAAGGCTAATAGTAAAGGATGATCAGAATCTTTGGAATTGTTTTAGTGACATTTTAACTAAGCATTTTTAACAAAGTGTTGTTTGGGAGATACTCCAAGTAAGATGAAATCAAGAACAAATATTTCTGCCCAAGTACCCTTAAATTTACTTCTCATGAGGGTGCTGTTACAGAGCCTCAAATCTCAAGATTGATCCTAAGCAGGTGCTGATTTCAGAAAGAAATCCGTAGTTGCATTCAAGTCAAAAGCTTGTGATGCTCAGGCAGCTTTTCTCGATTGAGCCAACTCGTGTTGTTCTGCACTGAGGAAAGGGAGTAACTGTGTAACTTTTCTTGACAGAGGATATGCTTTTGGGGTTGTCATTTCTGAAAGGTGTTGCGTGTGGGAGAGAAGACAGTAAAGGTAGTGGAGTACAGGGTTGGATATGCAGCTGTAACATCACAGAGATATTTTTCTGTGGAAAGACTGCTGCTGTCAATTTCCAGGGGAAAAGATGTTGGGAGCAAGTAACTATAGTGATGCACTACCAATCCCTGTAAAAGTGCCAGGTAAATAAGGAGAATTTCACAGTCAACAGCTGGAGAGGGAGGCTGGGCCAGGAGAAAGAAGTTGGTGCTTGAGTGCTCTCAGAAAAAAAAGAGTTTCAATTCTGTGAAAGGAGTAGGATCAAATCATCCTGGGAATTCTTCTGAGAGATCTGCTTGTTCCTAGCTGAGGAAAAATGTTTCTGTGATTCAATTTACAAGGCTTGGTTGGCTAATGGTTTCACAGCTGATGTGGAGGGAGTCTCAGAATAATGCAAGGAAGTGATCATGTAATGTCTGTGGAATGTATCCTTTGAAGAGCCTTCAGTGGTTTATCAGTGGTTTGCTGGTTGAGGAAGGAGCCAAGGGATGTTTCATACTGCCCATCAAGGTGTTTCTTTGATTGTAAGTACAGTAATCAGGACTTTCACTCTCCTCCTTTTTCCTTGGCGTTCTTGTGGATTTGCCAGAAATTATTTGTGATGAAATACTTAAAGGCCACTGAAGCTTCTGAAATAGATAACAGAAGCTGTTTGGGCTAAGCAGCTTGCTACTGCTACATCATGTCAGAATGATTTGTCTGTAGAGAACAGAGATCATGTGCTGCACACAACAAACCAGGGGTTTGTACCACTCTTTACCGGGATAGCAGAAGCCCACAAAGGGAGCAGCCAATTGGCAAGCAGGCCAACAACAAGGGCATAATCTCTCCAGAGAAGTCAACACATCTCTCTCAGTAAAGACACTAAGCTCATCGTTTCACAGGCGTTTCTGTCAGCAGCAGATTCTGCCTCTGCACCACCCTCTCAGTTAAACAAACACATGTCTCTGATGACCCACGTGCAAGAGCTGGGGCACATGACTGCAATTTTAAAATAACTTTGATAATCATGCCCTATTTAATTAAAAAAACTGTAAAAATTTTCAGCCCAGCCTTAACCACAATCTTTGTTTTAACCCATTATGCAGATCACCACGCACTCCTGCAAAAAGCTGTACCTGCCCAGCTGAGGGAGTGAGGCAAGGGAGGGGGTTCGGCAGTGATGGCCAGGGCTGCTTACTGGATGTCAGATGGGCTCTGGTGGGGCTCCCATGGTCTGCAAGCCACACAGATGATGGAAGAGTGGACCAAGGGAAAGCCACCAGCAGTCAGGGCTCCTAGAAGGAGTACTGAAGAGGAGTTACCCATGGCAATTGCTATGAAGTGGAATCCATCTGTAAATACGATTGCTAGAAATCAGGAAAATATTTTTCAGAGCATCAGGGGGTATCAGTAAGGTAGAGGGCCTGCTGGATGAGTGCTCTGGGAGCTTTGAGGACTGCTTACAAACTCATCTTGGGTATCCCACTAGACTGTGCGTTGTATGAGCACAGACTAAAAACACTGTTTCAATTCTAAAGATCAGTGTGAAATCTATGCAGAGAACGCTAACAGGAATGTATTAATAGACTTTCAGAACTTTTTTTGTAACATGCTTTATATAGGTTGAGGCTTTTAGACAAACATCAAAGGGAAAAAAAGGGGGAAAAAAGATTCGATGGGAATGGGTATAAGAGAGTAAACAAATTTTGCACCTTCACAGCTGAATGGGGTTTTGATGTAATCACAAAATATAATCCCCCCCCACCCCATATAGGTTGGATAGGTCTAGTTTGCCCCACAAAGAGTGTTAAATGCAGTGCTTTCATGTATTCCATTTATACAATGAAGTTTTTAAGATTAGCTTTAACATGAAGCACTGTTCTAGAAGACTGGATTCATGTTCTTGCCTAGGTTCCTATTTGCAGGTTGATCAAAACCCTCACTCATGTGGGACTTCCTCCCAGTTGAATTTCTAAAGCAAAGGCAAGATTG